TGTTGTTATCGTGTTGTTGTAGTTTCTTTGCGGTTGAGGAGGACGCGAGGGGGAAAAGGTAGTAGCGTGTGTGCACACCGCCGCTCTAACGTGCGCGCCGGGTACGACGTCACGCGTGACGTAGCGCGCGGCAGAAACGGGCAAAGTGGCGAAGGGGCGAAGATGGTGGTAACTCGACGATGTTGTTCCTCGAGGTCGTGGTCGCGATCGTCCTCGTTCTCGTCCTCGTCCAGGAGTAGGGATGAGAACGTGGAGAAACGACTACTCCCTCGTGTTGAGACAGGGTTACACCACGGAAACGCACAACACACGTGCACGCTTGCGCTCTGAACTGTGCGAGAGTGCAGTATGTCGCCGCCAACAACTTCTGCCTTTTACTCTTCCTCTTTCTTCCTTTCTTCCTTCCTTTCTTTCTTTCTCTCTTTCTCTCTTTCTCTCTTTCTTCCTTCCTTCCTTCCTTCTTTCTTTCTTTCTTTCTTTCTTTCTTCTCTTTTTCTTCACGCTTGCACCGTCGATTCTCTCTCGTTTCTTCTTTACGCGGAACCGCTCGTCAACCGGACGTTACCTGCAACACAATCGTTAAATTTTCGTTACCTTACCATCGATCATCCTATTACGCTACATGTATTTAAACAGATCGATACTCGATCATCGATATATTCTACGTATATGTATATAGAGACGACCGAGATCGGCACGGGTGGGTGGTAGCAGCAGGGAAGGAGCGTCGAGAATCGCGAGACACCTGGGCGCAAGGAGCGAAGGGTGCCCCACCCCTTTACGGAAAGGGTGCCGCTACTCGAAATGAAACATTGCCGGTAAGAAGAACGTGAGGGCCGATGGTGTGTAGGTAGGAAGGGTAGTAGGGGAGGCTCGTACTCTGGCGCGGTGACGCGATATGGGCAGGAAGGGTAGGTGGGTGGGCGAGGAGAAAGAGGAAGAGGAAGAGGCGCGCAGGGTGGTCGGAGGGTAGCTATAGGGGCGGATTCGCGCGCTCTACGCCGGCAAGGGGGTGGGAGAGCGCACATCGCTGAGAGAAAGAGAGAGGAGGCAGAGTGCGCCTAATATGCAACAAGAGAAAAAGAATTGGCGATCAATAGGTAGTAGCTGGTAAGCGTCCTTTCATCCGCCCCCGCGGACACCCTCGTCCTTTCTACTTGCCCTATTCCCCTCTCGCGTCCGTCGTTCACCTCCTTCCTTCTCAGTTCTCTCTATCCTCCCCCTCCCACCCTGTCCTACCTTGCCAGCCCCTTCATTCTCTCACGTTCATCGCGAAACTCCTTCGTTCCATCGCCTTTGTCGTCGAGATACACCCGTCCTACTAACGCACCTAACTTCCTCTTTGTCGCCGAAAATCAAACACCTTCTAATTGTCCCTCCATCTCTCTCTCGCTCTTCCCCTCGCTTTTCCCTTTCCTTTCGTTTGCTCCTATCTGCGAACAAACTTTCGAGCAACTTAACTCTCTCGACTACACGTGCTAGGGTAGCGGTGGTCGCTCGCTATAGACACCAGTAGGGGTAGCAGAGTAGCCTTCTTGTAGAAACGTAAGGGAGATCTAGTTTAAATCTGACTAGGATGTACGTGGCAGATGTTTTCCCCCTTTAAGGCCGACGGTTGTATTCTCGTTGCTCGATAATTTAGCCGGTAACTAGGGTGTAGCCAGACTTTGAGCGGCGAGAATCGATCTTCGTAGACAGGACGTGTGTGACGTAGATGATGAAAATCGGAGCAACTAGCGTTCGTTAAAAGTGTTTGATTCCTCGGTGTTGATATTCCGCTCGCGCGCGGACGTCGCTCGGTGAATAGAAGCTAGCCGTGGACTAGCACGACGACGACACCACTGACGCTGGAAGATCGATCGAATACTCGTTGTAGCTGTAAGCCTATACGAACAATATCGATGAAACGCAACGGGGCTCTCGGTTCTGCGGTTCTACGCGTGTCCCACATTTTCCGAGGGTCGCGTGCGGACGCGTCCAAGCTTTCGCCGGCGTCGTTGAACTTTCACGGATTTCCTGCTCGTTGAAAAACTAAGTATCGCGCTGAGGGTATTTACGATTGAGGTAGGGGGAAAAACGAAAAAAAGAAGAAAAACAACAATTACAGGCGTTTCTCCGGTATAAATTCTTCCCCAACTCTCGATCTCGTTCGTCAATTGTCTACAGTTATTAGAAGAAAAAAGCGAACGCTTTTGCTGAAAGCGTTCCACTTTCGGTTCGGTGCGCCTCTGTATACGTACACCGGCGGTTCTACTGATGTCATTGAACCTTCGCAGGCATGCTGGGCGAGGGAAAAGTGACTAGACTCTCAGAGTACCTTGAAGTGGTCGGAGTACTAAGACGCTCGACTTTTACCCTATTAAGTATTTCTTCCTTCTAGTCTGTCTCTCTCTCTCTCTCTCTCTCTCTCTCTCTCTCTCTCTCTCTCTCTCTCTTTCTCCGTTCGAATTTGAGTACAGGTTTCGAATCGTGTCAGCGGTGGTGTTTTTTAAACAAGTAAATCTGAACGTCGCATCTGGATCGGAAAGATTCTTTTTTTACGTTTAATTCCTCGGATGTAGAGGAGCTAATAATTCTCCGTGGCGTATCCGTACATCTTGGACGGTCACCTTAGCCGCTCGGTTCCTAATCGATTTTCCCATTACGCGAATCCGGGGAGTGCTTCGCACACACTCGCTTCGTTTTCCGTCGTTCCGTGTCCAGCCTGCATTTCCGTCGACGAACAAACCGTCTCGATTCTCCTGTCCAACCTTCCCCCCTCTCCTACTTCCCTTTTTCTCTCTTCTTCAAGCACATCTACGCGGCGGCGGCGGCTCTTTCCATCCGTATTTTCTTTTCTACTTCTGCTACGAGATAGTTTTAAACTGTACGGGGAGCACTTTGTCGATTTCAGACGTGCTTTCTGATAAACAGGTTCGATCTCGTCGAGATCAGAAATCGTGAAACTCCTTTTGTCGGAAATGTGGAACAAGATCGATACAGTTCTGTTCGGTTAATGGACAATTCGATAACTATCGTAGGAGGGGAAAGATTAGAATTTGATAACGCATGGATGCTCGACTCTCGCGACAACTCCAATTCCGACGGCATCGTTTCAAAATTCCCAATTCGGGTAATTTCCATTGACAGGGTACCACTTTCATCCGGTTCTTCGTTAATTGTCCCGGATATTAGAATAGGAGCACCGTTCGAGGTAATTGTAAAAGTTAATAACCAAAGTCGCGCGAAAGCGGAAGAGAGAGAGAGGTTGGCATCAGTTGCATTGGATTCGCGGTGCAGCGTCATTCCAAGTCGACGGCGTATTTTTTTCGCCAGCGGAAGAAACTCGATGACGAGAGAGGGAGGACGAGGAAGATAGAAGAAGGTCGGCGGCGGTAGAGAGGGTAGGACTGCTTCAGGAAGAGCAGTCAGGGGCGGTGGAGAAGGAGGATGAGGAGGTGGCGAGAGAGAGAGAAGTGGGGGAGATGGTGCACTCGGTTTTTTTCCCGGTCGGGGGGAGGCAATGGGCGCGAGGCAAGGGTGCGTTGGATTCGGTTACTTGGTCTCACCCCTCGGACCACCTCCACCGGCGGTTCTAGCGGCGGC